GTTATTAAAAAAATATCTTCGTCGTACTATTAATGGTCCTATGGGTCAGTACTATATGATTGATTGGTTCTTTCGTATAGAATTTCAGCAACGTGGTAGTCCTCATGTACACTGTTTATTGTGGATAAATAATGGTGTTTCTGATCCTTTAAAAGATAAAGAAGCTGCTATTAAGTTAATTGATAGTTTAATAACATGTGATTCTTCTAATCCTTTAGCTGAAAAAAATATCCATCGACATACTCATACATGTTTTAAAAATAAAAGAATTAAAAAGAAGTTTGCTAATAAACTGTTGAGTGCACATGAATGTCACAAATATTGTAGATTTGGTGCTCCATTCTGGCCTACTAATAATACGCGAATTTTGCAGCCATTATATGAAGAGGAAGATGAAAGGTCTGTAAATAGTTCCAAAAAAATGTGTTGGAAAGATTACATTGAATTTTTAAAAACTTTAAGGTTAAAATTGAAAGATGTTTTAGCTTCTGAGGATTGTCCTGATGATTTAGATGAAATTTGGGCTATTGCTGGTTGTGTTGATGATGAAATGTATGAGTTGGCAATTCGAACAGGTTTGGTTCGTCCTACTGTTTTATATAAAAGAAGTGTTGCTGATAGGTGGACAAATCCTCATTTGAAATGGACTTTGGCTGCATTTATAGGAAATGGTGATTGCCAATTTATATTAGATTATTTTAGTTTAGTGCGGTATTGTGTATCTTATGTGACTAAAGGAGAGAAATCTCATTCTCAGTTGTATTCTGAAATTATGAAGTTAAGAGCAGAACACAATTTTGATGATAGGACGCTGTTAAAAATGTTGTGTTCTACATCTCTAAGAGCAAAAGAAACCTCTGCACAAGAAGCAGCGTGGATTTTACTTAACTTTCCATTAAGTGAAGCTAGTAGAATGTGTGTGTTTATTGACACTTCTTTGCCTTCAGAACGTTGTCGTAGTCCTAAAAACAAGAAAGCTTTGTTAGCATTACCAGAAGGTTCTACAGATTTGTGGTATTTAGATGTATTTGATTTGTATACGGCTCGACCTGAAGCTTTAAAAAAAATTTGTTTGGCTGAATTTGTTGCTTACTACCATCAATCTAAAAATTATAAACGTAGAAACCATGCTAGAGTTATACGTTATCGCAAATTTAAGGAAAATAGTGATGATGTGGAGGAGAAAGAGAACTTTTATCGCGGTATGTGTACTTTATATTTACCTTGGGAAAATGAAGTAAATGATATTTTAAGTTATGGTGCTAATGATAAAAGTTTTGTTGACTTATATAATGTTAATGAGCAAGTTATTTTAAGTAATAGAATTCAATTTGAACCTTTAATTGGTGCGGAGAATGTTTTGGAAGAAGAATTACAAACTTGTGTAGGCGAAGAAGAAGAAATTGATGAAAATGATTGTGAAAGAAGAAGTGTTATAGGAGGAGCGTTTAAACTAATATTTGATGATGAAGTTGAAGTTGTTGAGTATATGAATAGTGAAGAACAAAATGTTGATATTGACTTGTCTAATTGTGGATTAGACCAATCTTTTGAAGTCGTAGAAGTTAAACGTAGAGGAGTGTGGAGTCGTGATGAATTTTTGAGTAATATTCGTGTGCTAAATTCAGTTCAACGTGAAATAGTTTTGTCAGTAATTCATGGAATACGTTTGGGAATTGCACCTTGTCTTATTTATGTTGATGGAGCAGCTGGTACAGGTAAATCAGTAGTAGCTCGTAATATTGCTAATGCATTTGAAACATTTTCTCCTGGTAATAATTACGAAGATAGTAGAGTTGTCATTACTGCTTTTACTGGCAAAGCAGCTTATAATATTGGTGGAGTAACAATGCATCAAGCATATAAATTATCTCTTAATCAAGAAGTAAGAGCAAGTGAAAGGTTAAAAGCAGGTGATAGTACAATTATGAATCCTTTGCAGCATCAAGCACTTGCGAACTTACAAAATTATTTTACTAATGTTAATGGTCAAATAATTGATGAAATAAGTTTAGTATCAGATCGCAATTTTTTAGCTGTTGATCAACGTTGCAAAGAAGCAAAACGCAATAATTCAGATTTTGGTAATTTGTGGACGATTGTATTTGGAGATTTTCGTCAATTACCACCTATCGGTGGTAAGTCAGTGTATTGTAGTATTATGGTAACATTAACCTAACCAGGTTACAGCAGAATACCCTCAGTCACGGCCACTAGTGATCACTATGGAGGCGACACCTACACT